AAAGATAGCTTATAACAGGGCAGTAGAAGTAGTAACTAATCTTGTGTAAGCTAGCTAGCCATGGAAATAGCATCCCTATTTGTCCCCATCAATATGACGACCTTCAGCTTGAGTATGAAAAACCTGCTCCTCATTTCATCCTTCATCCTCTTCCTAATCAAAGTAGCGCTACCACTAATTACCAAATCGAAAAAACCCCTCGGCCAAAAAAAGAATCTGCCTCCGGGCCCGCCGGGCCTGCCCGTGATCGGCCACCTCCACCACCTTATCGGCTGCGGCCTTCCCCACCGCACCCTCCACCGCCTATCCCTCAAGTACGGTCCAATCGTGCACGTGCGCATGGGCGAGGTCTCGACTGTGGTGATCTCATCCCCTGACGCCACAAGGGAGGCCCTCCGGGACCGCGACCTGGCCCTAGCCGACCGGCCATCCACCGTCGGCAGCGATATCTTCTTCTCCAACGACATATTCTTCTGCCCCTACGGAGACTACTGGCGCCAGATGCGCAAGATCTGCATCATCGAGCTCCTCAGCGTTAAGAGCGTCAGGTCATTCCAACAGGTCCGCCTGGATGAGGGACGCCGTCTCTTGAGGTCCCTTCTCCCGGAAAAAGAAGGTTCCCCTGCTGCTGCTGCTGCCGCAGTGGACCTCACCAAGAGGATCGTCGAGTTTGCGAGCATGACGGTGTGCAGGGCGGTGTTCGGGGAAGTTGGGGTGAGGGACCGGGCGGCTGTGGTGGAGATGATAAAGGAGGCGGCTAACTTGGCTGCCGGGTTTGGGCTGGCGGATTTGTTCCTTTCCTTCAAGTTGCTACGTGTGTTGAGCTTGAACAGGGCTAAACTGGTGAGGAAGAGGCGTAGCGTGGACAGGGCTCTTGACGAGATTTTGGAGGAGCATAGGAGGAGGAAGGGGAGGAGTGGGGAGTTTGGTGAAGAGGACATTGTCGATGTTTTGCTTAGTATGCAAAGGGATGGGGACTTGCAGTTTCCAATTACCGACGATAATATCAAAGGCGTCGTCTTTGTAAGTGCCCTTTAAATTAAATTTATTTTATGAGCAAGTGTAATAAATTTTTTTCAGGACATGTTCGCTGCTGGAAGTGAAACACCGGGGCGCACAGTTGATTGGGCGATGGCGGAGCTCATGAGAAATCCGGACGTGATGGCGAAAGCACAGGCAGAAGTACGCAGTGCTCTCAAAGGGAAGAAGTACATTGAAGAGAGCGACCTGCAACAGCTTAAGTACCTAAAAATGGTGATCAAAGAAACAATGAGGCTACACCCTCAAGCCCCATTACTCTTTAGAGCGTGCAGAGAGGAATGCGAGATCAGTGGCTACTCGATTTCTCCCAAGACAAAAATCCTCATCAGCTCCTGGTCTATGGGAAGAGATCCCAAGTATTGGGCAGACCCCGAAATCTTCTGCCCAGAAAGGTTCGATAACAGCCCCATAGATTTCTCGGGTAACGACTTCAAATATATCCCGTTTGGGTCGGGGAGAAGGAATTGCCCCGCTGTCAATTTCGGGTTGGCAAATGTGGAGCTGCCGCTGGCTATCCTTTTGTACCACTTTGATTGGAGAATGCCTCAAGGGATGGATCCGCAAGATATCGACATGAGTGAAGAGGGAGGACTATCCGCCAGGCGGACACAACATCTATTCCTGGTTCCCATACCTTATATATATGACCCTTCAAATCATCACAACTCATAATGTTATCGTTGCCGCTACTTGCGTTTACTATTCCCTGGTAATCCTGTAAAAGCTTGGTATGCCAAGTGCCAACATATGGGAAAATTTTGAATGTGGTATCATAGTTATGCTGAGTGTGTATAAAAAGTAATCCCACTAGATACCACTTATGGGCATATTGGTATAACTGAATCAAATTTGATATGAATTGAATTAGTTGAAGATTGGAATGAATAAGGGAAATGAATGAAACAAGTTTTTTCTATTGACGTGTTTGGTATGCAGAAGAAATAATACATGAATTAAATGACATTAACATCTTATATTATGATTTATCACTATTTTATAAAAAACAAATTAATATTTGTATTAATGTTACTTTTTTTTATTTATGATAATAATAAAATTATTTTATGTTTTTAAAAAATATATTGTATTTTAATAAATATACTTTATATTGTTACACTCATATATATTATATAACATTCATATACATATTAACTAATATAAATATATCAATACAGGAACTCCTATAACCATATGTGGTCGAATATAATTTTTTATATTATAATTCAATTTATGAATAAATATATAATATATATGATGTGTAAAAGTAAAATAATATCTTTTTAAATTGTTTATAAATGTATTTATTTAGTTTATTTTTATATAAAATGGTTTAGGCATGTGCGTAGGAGAGACTTCGAGGTCACAGTAAGAAGGGTATAAACATTAGAATTAAAAGTGCAAGTTTAAAGGGGGAGGGATAGACATATGAAAACTTGAAAGAAAAAATTAAAATATAATTTAAAATATTTGAATTTGAATGATATGTGTTTTGATCAAGCACGATGGCGACCTGCGATCCAGATAACCGACCCCACTTAGTGAAATTTTTACGGCTTCTTGTTGTTGTTGTATCAGTGCTTAATATAACTAATTAAAATATGAACAATAAATAAAAATAATTTTTTATTTTTTTATTCAAAATTTTATTTTAAAATAATTTTGTTTAATATAATTTAATCATGAGCTATAGTATATATTATATATTTATTTTTTATTATTGTTTGTTAATTTATTATTTAAAAAATTAATTGCTACAAATATGAGAATGGGAAAATCTTGCATTAACTATGGAATGACTAATTTCATGGAGATGTGTTTTGCTATTCTCATTGGAATGATCATTAATTTTAAAAATATATATCAATCATGGGATAAGAGATGAGTAAGAGAATGATCATTATATTCTCATGTCATTCTCTCATCTCAATCATATCTTAAGGTGTATTTGTTGGGATTTTGAGTGATATTTTTTAGACTTTTAAAATTTGAGACTTTTTAAAATTTTCAGATTATGGAGGAATTATATGAAATCTTAAGTCTGGAGATGAGATTTGGAGTGAGATTTCGTACAAGATTTTTT